GCCCCGCTCACCTCCCCCCGCACGCCTCCAGGTCAACCAGCGCTGCAGCCAGGTGGCGCTGGCGGTGGAGGGCCTGCCCCTTGACGAGCTGGAGCTGGGCTCCCTGCGCGGCCGCCTCACCGCCGCAGCGCTGGACGTCGACCTGGGCGCCCGCCAGGGCCGCGCCTCCCTGTCGGTCGCGGCCCCGCGCTTCAGCGGGCTGCGGGGCAGTGCCTTCTCCGCGGCGGCGCGCTGGGAGCGTGACGTGGTGCTGCTGGAGCGCGCGGCGCTGAGTCAGCAGGCCAGCCGCTACGAGCTACAGGCAGAGTACGTGCTGCCCCCCGGGCTGCAGCTGCCCGACAGCTTTGCGCCCCCGCCGCAGCCCCCACCGCACGCGCACCCCGATGCGGCGGGGGCACGCGGCGGCGGCGGCGAGCGGGGTGCCTCCGAAGGGGCCAGCGTCGGGGCGGCGGCCGCGGCGGTCGAGGAGGAGGAGGGCCGCTGGCGCGTTGTGCTGAGCGTGCCGGGCGCGCGCATAGAGGAGCTGCTGCCGGCAGGGCAGCTGCTGCAGCAGGCGACGCGGCGCGCGGCGGCGCTGGACCCGTTTGCTGCGAAGCGGCGCTTCCTGTCGGGCCTGGCCGCGGCCGTGTGCACCGCGGGCCGCGAGTTCCGCGCGCAGGTGGACGCCCTCGTGGCCGCAGAGGCCGCCGCCCCGGCCGGCGCCGACGGCGCCGCCGCGGCCGCCGCCGCCGAGGCCGTCGCGGCGCTCAGCGGCGCGCTGCCCGGGCTCCAGGAGCTGCGCGGCGGGTGGGAGGGGTCGGTCACCGCGGTGGGCGGCGGCGGCGCGCAGCCGCGTGTTGAGTTTGACGTCAAGGGTGGTGACTGGCGGTGGGGTGACTACACCCTGGACGCCCTGGCGCTGCGCGGCGTGGCTCACGGCTCCGAGGGGCTGTCCCTTGAAGAGCTGCGCCTGGCCAGCGGCGGCGCCACGCTGGCGGCGGGCGGGCAGCTGCTGGGGCCGCGGCAGGACGCGAGCATCGAGGTGGACGACCTGCCGGCGGCGCTGCTGGCGCCGCTGTACAGGGCGCTGCCCGCACTGCAGGTGGGTACGGGTTGTGGAGAGACGAGGCGGGACGGGCCCGGCTGCGCTGTGGGGCATGCTCAGCTGTCAGAGTCGGGGCCCATCACGCACGGGGGTGCGTCGACAACCACCAACCCGTGGCTGCACCCGTGGCTGCACGCTGGTGTCGTCCCCACCTGCGAATACCCGCCATCTCCGCCTGCAGCATGCCGCCCCCGCGGTGGACGCGCGCGACAGCCTGCTGGGTGGAGGTGGCGTGATGCACCAGCTGGGGCTGGCATCCCTGGGGGCGCGGCTGGAGCAGCGGCTGGCCTCCCTGGGCATACGGCTGCCGGGGCCCAGGACCGGCCAGGAGGACCCCTTGGCCCCCTTCATGGGTGGGTGGGTGTGGGATGGCGGCGCCAGTGCGGGAGGGGCAGGGGCGGCGTGCATCGCTCGTGGCCTGGTGGGGAGCCGGTCGCGGGCGCGGTGGGTGGCTTTGAGGATGGATTCCCCCTGCTCTCAAGAGCACATGTCCTTGGTTCCGCCCATTGTGTAGGCGCAGCTCTCGTGCGACGACGAAACCGCCAGCCCGCAACCCCCACCCTCACACCGCCAGGCTCCCCCATCAGCGGCCTGCTCTACCTGCGGGGCGCACTGGGCGGCAGCCTCGACGCCCCCAGCGGCGCCGTCTCCCTGCGCCTCATGGACGGCGCCGTCGGCCGCGCGCGCCTCGCGCGCGCGGTGGCCAGCTGTGCGCTGTCCCCGGATCAGGTGCTGTCTGTCGACGTCGACGTGGCGCCCGCAGAGGGGTCGGGGGGCGTGCGGCTCGGCGGCACGATCCCGTTGCCCAAGGCAGTCGCCTCTGCTGCCGCAGCCGCAGACAGCAAGGCTGCTGCGACGCAGCAGCAGCAGCAGCAGCAGCAGCAGCAGCAGCAGCAGCAGCAGCAGCAGCAGCAGCAGCATGGCCAAGGTGGTACTCGTTCGCAACAACCACAACCGCAGCAGCAACAGCAGCAGCAGCAAGCGGAGTTTGCGACGGCATCCACGACACGATCGGCCCCGCAAGCAGCAGGCGACCAGCATCAGCTGGGGGCTGCGGGGCTGCAGCCCGGCCCTGGCGAGGGCGTGGACCTGTCGCTGAGTGTCAAGGACGGCGGCGTGGACCTGGTGGGCAGCCTGGTCCCGGGCTTCAGGTGGGAGGGCGGCTCCGCCAACATCACCCTGCGCGTCGCGGGCCCCCTGGCGGCGCCGCGCTTCACGGGCGGTGCGAGCCTGTCACGCGGCGTCGTGGCGCTCGACGGCGTCCTGCGCGCGCCGCTGACCGGCATCAGCGGCTCCCTGGACATGGATGGCGCAGTGCTGCGCGCGCGCGGCCTCGAGGCCCGCAGCGGCCGCACCGGCGGCATCAAGCTGCACGGCGCCATCCCGCTGCGCCCCGTGCTCCCCGGTGCCGCCGCGGCCGGGGCCGCGGGCGCGGGGCCGCACCCTTCAGAGGGCCTCACGGCGGAGGCGTCGGGGCTGGAGCTGCGCGTGCGCAACGCGTACAGCGGCCTGCTGGACGCGACGGTGCACGTCAACGGCAGCCTGGCGGCCCCTGTGGTGGGGGGCGAGCTCAAGCTGTCGCGCGGCACTGTGTACCTGGTGGGGCAGGCCGGCGCAGGCGGTGGCGGCGGCGGCGGCGGCAGCGGAGGGGGCGGCGCGCTAGCAGGAGTGGCTGCGCCTGACGCTGTAATGGGCGCGAGCGGGCGTGGCGGCGATGAGGACCTGGTGTCGCGCGCGTTTGCAGCCCTCAAGGCGGGGCGGCGGCGTGCGCAGGATCAAGTGGGTGGGGCCTCTTGCATGGGGACTGCTGCCTGCATGACTGGTCAATTGTGTGCTCGGCATGCTCAAAGACGGGCCCAGCATGCGTTGACTGAATCAGGCATGGAGGCCACACACGTGCACGCATGCACGCAGGGTGCGCAAAATACTCGCGGGCTGACGCTTGTGTACACACCGCAGGCCGCTTCTGCGCTGGACCCCCTCGGCGCGTCTGCGGCGCAGCTGCTGCTGCCACTGGCGCAGGATTACGACGCAGACCAACAGCAGCAGCAGCAACAGCAGCAACAGCAGCAACAGGAGGAGGACGCCGATGCCGCGCGCCAGGCGGCCGAGGGCGGCGGCGGCGACGGGGAGGCCGCGCCCGACCTGTTGCTGAGCGGCCTGGCCGTCAGCCTGGGCCCTGAGCTGCGTGCGTTCTTCCCCGTCGTCCTCAACGTGGGCGTCAGCGGTCGCCTCGCAGTCAGCGGCCGCCCCGCGGAGCCCGGCGGCCTGGGCGTGTCGGGCGTGGTGCGGCTGGACAACGGCGCGCTCAACCTCGTGGCCACCCAGTTTGCCATCGAGCGGGGCCACCCCAACACGCTGACGTTCACGCCGGAGGCGGGCCTGGACCCGGCCCTGGACATCGCCCTCACCAGCCAGGAGCTGCGCGCCCTCATACAGGGCCGCGCCTCAAGCTGGCACGAGCACGTCACGCTCACCTATGGCTCCGCGGGCGGTCCCGGCGCGCCCGGCGGCGCGAGCGTCGGCGTGGGCGCGCCGGGCGGCGCAGCGGCGGCGGAGGCCGGCGACGTGCTGGGCGCGAGCGAGGTGGCGCGGCTGTTTGAGGGGCGGCTGGCCAACGTGCTGCTCGCGGATGACGGCAGCCTGTCCCTGGCCGCACTGGCCTCCAGCACCATTAGCAGCCTGCTGCCCAAGATCGAGTCGCAGGGCGCCATCGGCCGCGCGCGCTGGCGGCTGGTGTCGGCGCCATCGCTGCCCAGCCTGCTGGCCGCACCGGACGGCGGCGCGGGTGGCGGGACGGCGTGGCTGCGCAGCCTGGCGCTAGGCACAGAGGTGGAGCTGGCGCTTGGGCGGCGGCTGGTCGCGGCGCTGTCGCACACGACGCAGCGGCCGGACGATGCGCTGGAGATGCGCGTCTCCCTGGCCCTGACGCGGCAGCTGCGGCTGCTGATGCTGCACAACGCGGGCGCTGCGCGCACGGCGAGCGTGCTCCTGCAGTTCTCCAGCTCGCCCGCCAATTCGGGCGGGTGACGCACTGGGCCTGCGGGCTGAGTGTGAGTGGTCGCTCCTCACTGGCTTCCTTCTCCTTTCATGGGACATCACAAGTTTCATTGCCATCCATAGACTCGGTACACGTTTTACAGTCTTGCGCGGGGCGTTTCACACACCCATGTAATATACCCAAGTATTCTAGGTCGCGATTATGGCGTGGTGACGGCACAGTCAAAGCACACAGCAGGGCCCCAAACAAGCACACGTGCGGCGGACCTCTGCAAGATCAGGCAGATCGCATGATTACCTGACAAGCCCAGCCAGGGGTGGGCAGGCGCGTGACCTGCTGTGCGCGGACATCAGCACATGATATTGAAGCTCGTCCTTGCAACCCGCATTGTCCTGGAATCTCGCTGTCACATCGTACGTGTACGCACTGCAGGCCGCTGTGCCGACGTAAACACCAGCGCGGTGTGGCCATGTACTTACTGATTTATGCCATGCAGCACTTCTGGCCGTTCCAGCCAGCCCGCCGGGCGGCCCTTAGAGAACCATGATGGAGGCTTCCAGGGTGTGAAGGAGGTGGTTCCAGGCACGAACGGGGATCAAGCCGTCTCGGCCAGCCGTACGTTTCAAGGCGATCTCTTGACTGGTGGCTGAGCACAGGTCACCAGGGCCCTACACCCTTTTGCCTACTTCTTGTTATGACGTATATGATTGCATCTACAGAAATAGTAGACCTCTGTGGACTTCCAGGAAGCCTGCCAGCGCCGACTTGGCAGCCCGGCGTACTCCAGCTGCCCTCAGCAGATGAGTCAAACTCCAGTCAAGATCGCAGCCCGGTCGTCCCAGCACGGCAGAAAGCTGTGTACCAGCCACAAAGTGTGCTGTTGACAGCAGTCAAGGCGCGTGTTTTCCAGGCATGGATGGTTAAGCGGACAAGACCGCGGGATTGAGAGGCCGATCATGGAAGACAAGGAGGACGGCCCTGGAGAGGCCAGGCGCCTCACGAGGCAGGGATCGCAGGACCTCAGTTCCTTCCAAGGGTTTGGACTCTCGCAGGCCGGCGGGTGAGGAAGGGTGTGAGTCGAGCGATCTGTCGGCGACACGATTCATACGATAATACCAACAGGTCGGCCTGTTTCGTCGGATACACCTCGAGAATCTGAGGCGCAACGGCCTTGAGTCCTGGACGTGCCCACGCCGCTCTTCCGCTCAACGTCGATGGCGCCGCAGTTGCTGCTGCATGCGCCGTTGCTGTTGCTGCCGCCGCTGCAGCTGCTGCGGCATACATCGCCTGCCGTGTGCCGTCCCTCTCTGGCAGGGATGTCCACGAGCTGTATCGTGCGCTGCGCGGCACTCAGGGCGATGACCCGCTGGAGGACGAGCTGCTCTGGTGCGCTGTGCGGTGGACACAGCTGGCCTCAGATCGCACATTGGGCTTGTTTTGATCAGCCCGCTTGCCCTGAATCCGCCATGGAACCCCTCCTGACCTACTCTGCTGATACCTTGTTGCCATGCATCCCTCATCAGGGAGGGCGACTACATGACGACGCAGAAGGAGTTCATCCAGAAGCGGCAGCAGGACGCGCTGCTGGAGCGCCTGGAGCGCCGCATAGGTGGGGGGGGACATGGCGCGGGCGACGCATGTGTGCGCGAGCGACGTGCATGGGGCATGCGCACTACTGCAGGCTATGAGGGGGTATGTAACGGTGGCTTTATGTATGGTAAAGTGCACACCAATGAGGTATCCAGCCACTTGGGCACGTTGCCCGTGGTGTCGCCCCCATGCCACTCCCCGGCACGGCCAGGCGTTGGCCAGGCAGCGGTGCGCCCAGTTTCGGCCTCAGCGGCTGGGGTCCCCACCTCTGCGGGAGCCTCTGAAGCTGCGACGGCCTCGCTAGGCGCTGTGGCGCTAGCAGCAGCGGGCGGCCTCAGGATCAAGAAGCTGGTGGGGGACTTTGTGGCGTCGGCTGGTGGTGCCCTTGCGGTGCGCCGCAACACTACCAGCGCCGGCATCGCGTCTGCCCCTGGCACCAACACTGGGACCACGGGGGACGCAAGCCTTGGCGCCTCCGACGGCCGCGAGGGCCCCGCAGGCGCGCATACGGCAGGGGAACAGCCAGCTGGTTTGACAGCTTGGCGCGGCGCTCGAGTGGCCTCTGCGCCGCCTGGCAGGCCCCAGGTGGGTGAAGGCCAGGGTGCCTTGCGTCAATGCCTTGCAATGCAAATGTCATTTACTTGTGCACCTGAGGCGCCCCTGGGACCCATACGGTGCGAGAGGGCCCCATCAGACTCTTCCTGAACAACCCACTACAGCACGTACCCCATCCCAGGTGTCCCCTCTAGCCCTTGGTGCAATTGCGGAAACGCTGGGCTCGCCGCAAGGTGCGGCTGGGCCCCCAACACACCCCCCTCTGCTGCACGAGGGGGGCAACGAGGTTGGCGGCACCACTGCAGCAGCCCAGGGTGGGCCAGGGGACACCTCACAGGTCCAGCAGTTCAGGACCCTGGACATCGCCTCGGCCCTGGCCGCAGCGGCCTCCGCCCAGGCCGCTGCCGCTCAACCGACACCTGGCACGTCTTTTGAGGGTGGCGGCAGCCGAGCAGGCACGCCGCGGCTGGGTGTCCTGACGGCAGAGGCTGCGCCTCCGCCTGTGGCCACCCCTGACGCCGACGCGGCGGTGGCAGTGGTGCGTTGCGAGCAGAGCGGCGAGCTGGGTTGCAGTTAGAGAGGGGCCTCGGGGCTGGCTCGGGGTGGTAATTCCATGGGGCAGTTGCCGTCAGCTGTTGCCGTTGAAGCCGAAGGCTTTGGCCTTGACGTTGTTCGGCTCCACTTCCCGCCAAACCCCTGCCTGTCAACCTCCCAACTCCCCAACTGCCCCCTCCCCCCCCCCCGACACACGCACAAGGTGTCCATCACCCCCAAGTCTGCAAATGGGACACCGAAGGGCGAGGAACCAGCGGCCGCGCTTCCCGATACTGCCCAGCCCGCGGAGGAGGCCACAGCCTATGGGCCGCTGCGCCGTGCTGCGCTGGCTGTGTCGACTCACCCTGACTTTGAGCTGGGGGTGATCCTCCTGATCTTTGCCAACTGCCTGACTCTCGCCATGTTCCGGCCCCTGGAGAGTGCAGAAAGCCCCTGGAACAAGACACTCGAGAAGATTGGTGGGCATCGGGGGCCGCGGGCGGAAAAAGGGGGAAACGTGGGCGCCGGCAGAGGGCACGCCTGGGAGCACCTGTGGCAAGTGGGTGTGGCGCTGGCTGCTGCCCGCTTGACAACCTACAATGGCGGCCAGCAACATTCCCCTCTTCGCACGCATTTGCACGAAAAAAGCTCATCTTTGTTCCTGTCACTCGCCCCCTTCTCCCCCCCACCCCCGCCAGACCTGGCCCTGAACATCACGTTCACCGTTGAGAGCGTGCTGCGTATACTCTCAATGGGGGGCCCCTTTGCGTACCTCTCCCAGCCCTGGAATGTCTTCGACGCCATCATGGTGTGTGAGCCTGAGCATGTGTACGCGCTCGCACGTGTACGTGCGCCTGCACGTGCACGTGCGCGTGCGCGTGCCCTGCGTGCGTGCGTGCGTGCGTGCGTGCGTGCATGTTAGAAATATGTGAGTCTTCAATGATCAGACATGGCCTGACAGCTATGCCTCAGAAACACATACTTGGCTGCAGGCGGCGTGCACTCCGTGTGGCTCCTGCAAGCCAGCCCGTCGTCAAGCCGTGTAGTAAAGCGCTGCAAACAGAAAAACTCTGGCCTCCTGTCCCCCTTCTTGCGGCAGGTGGCGGCCGGCTACACGACGTTCATCCCGATGGGCGATGGCGGCGGGGCAGGCGCTGGCCTGGAGGGCGTGCGCGCACTCAGGGCCCTGCGTGCGCTGCGGCCCCTGCGCACCATCACTAGGTGAGCACGTTACCAAGGACCGATGTTGCAAGTGCACTCCTGGACCCTCCATACCGCCGTTGCCCTTGTCTCGGCACTTCTGCAGAGGCCTAGGCCCCCTTCTCTTCCTAATCCCAGTTTCCCCCCAACCCCAGGTTCCCGTCCCTGCGTTCCATTGTGGTGTGCTTCCTGGAGGCCATCCCTCTGCTGATGAGTGTCGTGGGCATGCTGTGCTTCTTCCTCTTCATCTTTGGCGTCACAGGCACGGAGCTCTTCGCCGGGATCTATCACTCGGTGCGCCACCTCTGAGCCAGAAGTGTCTACAAGGGAGTAGCACGGGGGGGGGGCTGAGGTGCTGGCATGCTGTCGCAAGCTATCTCTTCCCAGACTCTTAACCCCATTTGATCCTCCAGCACTCTTTTTCAACTCACCTGTTTGGGAACTCCGTGTCGTGCCCCTCCGTCCGCCACACAAACTCAGGTGTGCATTGGTGCTGCTGGAGCAATGGAGCAGTCAGAGTCGTACGGCGGAGAGTTTGGCTGCGGCGCACGCGACTGCCCTCAGGGCATGACCTGCACGGTGAGCTGCTCTCAATCAGCAATATCAGGGCCTGCCCGAATTGTCTGCAAGATAGCTGCATCTGAAGCACTGTATCACTGCAGACGCAGGCCCTTGAGGATGCGTGTGCCGACTGCCGACCTCTCGTGCCCCCCCCCCCCCCGCCCCTCCTTGGGCCTCACAAACAATACACAAGTTGCTGGCTGCGGGCACCAACGTGAACGTTGCTGGCTTTGACAACGTGGCCCTGGCAGTCCTGACTGTGTTCCAATGCATGACGCTGTCAGGCTGGAGCTACATCATGTACAGGTGGGCGGGCAGGGGGCTGGATGACGCGGTGGGGTGGGGCGGACTTTTGCCAGGCCGGATGGAAGCAATGCTGACTGTACCCGTCACCAGAGCGTTCACAGCAGCACGGTTAGACAAACGGTTGTAGCATGCCGTTTCTCCATTACACCCTGCACCCCGCATCCGCTCCACAGGTCCATGGACTCTGTCGGGGCATACAGTGTCGTCTACTTTGTGCTGCTGGTCATATTTGGGGCCTACTTTGTGGTGCGTGCCTTTGAAATGGATATGAACGCAAACGCTGGTGTGGAGGAGGCGGGGCAGGGCGCCACCCCGTGCCCTGTGCTACGTTTGTAAGATGCAGAGGGTTATGCACTTTTCGCAGGTGTCGCAAAGCCGGCGCTAGGGATCCTGCCCTGCCCCCCTCCTCCCCCCCATCGGCAGCTGAACCTGTTCCTGGCGGTCCTCAAGATCAAGTTCGCCAAGGCGCAGGCCCTCTTCAACGACAGGTGGTGCGGAGGGTCCGGGGGGCTTGGGTCGTGGATAACCTGACATGCATGTGTGTGCAATGGCACGCTACCCCAGAATGCCGTTTCAGTCTCCGCTGGTCCCCCCGTGTCACTCAGGCGCAAGCATGTCGCCCCAAAGGAGCGGCCAAGCTCCCTGTCCCGCCTGGCCGTCTTTCTCAAGCGCAAGTGAGTCACCTACGCTTTTCTGGATTGTCTGGGACTGACACCTCTCAACCTGACGGGACCTGGCAGGAACACTCCCGACACAGCCTGTGCTCACACACCCACGCGTGCGTGTTCTCCTGAATCATGAAAAGCTCTCATGAGTGTTGCACTCTTTGCCTGCTGCGGCCACTATGCTCTCATTGCGCAACCCCCCAGGTGGTCGAATTTCATGGCTTCGCGCGGCGAGACGGAGGGCATCACAAAGCACATAGTGGCAGCCAGCCAAGCCAGCGCCAATGAGGCCAGCCTGTCCGGCTTCACGCCCCGGTGAGAGGCAACGATGGCACACCAGCGGCTGATGTTGCTTGGAGCTCCTGAAGCCGCGTCATCACTCTGCGCCGGACTTGCGCTCAGCAGTCTGATGAGGTGGTCCACGCCCTGCAACCTGCACCCTGGGCGTCAGGTCGGCTACCGCTGGGTTCCCTTCGATGGCCGAGTCTCCAGCTGTTACGGCTGGTGGCACGCAGCGCCCAACCAGCACCAGCATGCCGGTGTCGGGGGCGGCATCACGTGCTGCCAGTGCGCGCCTCACCGACGCCGGCGACTTTGGCCCGTACAGTGGCGCGGCCAGCGTGCGGGACTACTCCAGGTGCAGTGGGCAGCTGACTGCGGGAGGGCTCGCCTGTCAAGCGTGCTTTGCTCCCCCCCTCTCCTCCGCCTTCCCACATTGTCTGCAACCAAACATTGACCAATACCGTGCCTATTCTATGTGCGCTTGTTTGTACCCTCCCCTCAGATCCAACACTCAGGGCAGCGGCCTTGGGGGCACTCTAAACCGCAGCGCCAGCATAGGCAGTGGCATGACGGGCGTGAGTGGTGGCAGCGGCGCCACCAGCAAGTACAGCAAGGTGCTGCTCGTCACAGCGGAGGAGTTCGACCTCTCGCTGGAGTCGGCCGGCGTCAAAGGTGGGCCGCCACACCCCTGCGCAGGACAAAGGCCTCGCCTACCAACAGCCTGTGGTGCGGGGAAATGGAAGAACTGAGTGGGGATTGCATGCACCCCTTCCTGCTCGAAGTACTGACTCACTGCTTTCTGAAATTGTGTTTGCCAGGCACCAAGCGGCAGTGGCTGCGCTTCCAGTACCGTGTGCGGCTGCTGGTTGAGCGTCCCGCCTTCAATAACTTGTTCCTGGCCGCCATCCTTGGAAACACCATCGTGCTGGCCATGGAGTATGACGGGATGGGGCCCAGGTCAGGCCGCCGGCAACGCCGAGTGGGGGGGCAGCGGGCTGAAGGGGGGAGGGTTCCAAAGCAGAGTGCGGAGAGGCGGAGTGGGTCCATGCTTGTAGCCGTCCTATGTTCCGGCTTGTACGCAGGTCTGACTCCTCTCCCCTGTACAGCCTTGCCCCACCGGCTGATGTCCCTAGCCTTTCCCCCCTTGGCATCCCCACAAAGGTACGAGGACGGCCTGTCCAACGCTAACCTGAGTTTCACTGCGCTGTTCTGCCTGGAGTTCCTGCTGAAGGTGGTTGGCCTGGGGCCATGGACATACATGGGCGACTACTGGAACATCTTCGACGCAACAGTGGTGGCGTTCAGGTGCACAGGGCGGGGACACCTTACGCTGTAGCCTATGCGACGTTGTGCGGTGAATCTGCGTCGATTCGGGACATGGACGCAGTCCATGTGAGCTGGGCCAGCGGCCTTTCTGCCGGCTGATCCCAAGCGGCAATCACCCTGGACACTGCGCACCTTTCCACCCTCCCACATCCAGCCTGCTGGAGCTGGGTCTGTCATCAGGCAGCGGCCTCTCCGCCCTCAGGTGAACCACCCGCAAGCAAGCTGGTCGTTCACGCGGCTCGCGTGCCGCGGAGACGTCGTCCAAACACGTCATCCCTGACCGATTTCCCTTTTCCCTCCAAATCCCAGGTCCCTGCGCTCCCTGCGCATCCTCAAGTCGTTCCGTGTGCTGCGCGTCATCAAGATGTTCCGCTACCTGGAGAGCCTGCAGATGATAGCACGGGTGCGCTGCGCTGCGGGGGCAGTGATGACGGGCCGAGGCCTGTCAGCGCCCTGAGACCAGAGGTCAGTCACATGGTGCCCTATGGGTTGGCATGACTCTACCGGCGTGACTTGGGGCACAAGCTTGCATTTCAACCGTGTTCTTGCCTGTTCCAGGTGCTGATTACCAGCATGGACTCCTTTGCCGCCATTGTGGTGCTACTGGCACTCTTCTGGCTGGTCTTCGCCATCGTGGGGTTGCACGTGTTTGGTGGCTTGGCCTTGGCACCCCCCGCGTGGCCCAACTGCGACACTCTGATCAACAGCCTCATCCTGAACTTCCACGTGAGACCTGTTGTCTAAGGTGGTCGCATTTTTGCAGTTGGTTATGTTCTTCTTTGCCCCATCTGCATACGTTTTATCCCAAGCTTGCCACCGGTGTGCACTGACCCGCTTCCTGAAGCCTGCCTTGGACCATCCCGCTGCACCGCTGATGTTGGCAAGCACTCACTCAACGGCACGACGTCGGCCACCTGCACCTGCAACCAAAACCACCACCCTCAGACACTCAACATGGAGAATTTTGAGGTGACCATGTTCATGATGATACGCGCTGGAAACTATGGGGCTGCAGCCTACTTCATAGCGTGGATTGTACTGGGCAAGTTCATTCTGCTGGCGCTCTTCCTGGCGGTCATGCTGGAGGCCTTTGAGAACAAGTACCAGGTGGGGCCGGGGGGCACGGCCAGGGGGGCCGGGGTAGGCGGCAGGCTGCACAGCCAGGGCGTGCTGCAAAGCTGCACTGTGTATATGCGGAAATTGTGAAAGTTGCATCAGATGCCGTTGTTTGCGTGTTTGGCCATGTGCAAAGTGTTGTTGGATCTACCGGCACTTGATGAAATGAGCCCTGTCGCAAACCACCCACCACCATCCATTGCTTGCCTGTCCAGGTGCAATCTGTGAAGAGCGGCGGCATTTTGAACCGCTTGCGCAACGCTGGCAAGAAGATTGCCAATGCATCATCAGCACTCCGCAGTGCAGTCGGCAGTCACAGCGGGCGCAGCGTGCTGAGCCTCTTCACCCGCGGGGCAGCCGGCGGCTCCACCCTCAAGGGACCCTCAGTCGCCAGCAGCCGCAGAACCACAGCCACCAATGGTGCTGTAGCCGTCACCAGCGCCTGGGCGGGCACCGGGGCTAGTGGCCCTGTGGGCGAGGCGGTGGAGGTTCACGAGGAGCAGCTGCGCTGTGAGACGCAACGCGATTTTGCAGGTACTGTGCTGGTTGGGAGTGCAGTGGACGACGCGCTGCGGCAGGCCCGGGCCCAGTTGCGCCACAGACGGACGCTGTCGCTGCACCGCAGCATGAGTGCGCGCACGTCAGAGTTGGGGCCGCGTTCCGCTGGGGCGCTGGCGTCGATGGCGCTGGGTGCGCCGCCCCCACCCTTTGTCTTCCGGGAGGTGTGGGCGGCAGAGGGTGAGGCGGGCGAGGCGGCTCGCCTCGATCGTGGGGTGCAAGGTGCCCCATGCGGGGAGCTCGGCGGCTTGGCAGTGGACGCACGCCAGCAGCTCGCACATCTGCTGATTGAGGAGGAGGCGCAGCGGGCCAGGCAGGCAGCGGCAGTGGAACGCCACCGGCAGGGCGGCACGGCCCGCGTGCTTCTGGGGTGGCTGCTGCCATCGAGCGCGGCGGGCGGCGCAGCAGCGTCGGAAGTTCCGGTGCAGCGGCAGCTCAGATCCCAGCGGCCGAGCGCTCCACATGCGGCAGCGGCGGCGGGTATTAGACAACAGCAGGTGATGGATCAGGACGATGGCAGCTACAGCTGGCGCGAGTACTTTGAGACGCTGCAGCTGATAGGGCTGGACCCGCACGGCACCTTGCAGCCAGGTCCGGCGGCCGCGGCCGCGGCTAGCTGCAGCGAGCTCTGGCAGCAGAAGCAGGGCAGGTTCCATGTTGCGGCCACAGGCGGCACGCGCCTGCTCTCAGCGGGGGGTGGTCCCGTGGGCGAGGGCTTTGAGGCGCCTTCCAGCAGCGACAGGGTTTCGGCGGGACGGCTGTCGTTTGGCTCTGGGCTGGCCTCTTTGATCGCTGAAGCTGAGCAGGCGACCGCTCCCAGCAGTGATGGAGCGCTGGGCGGGGAGGCGCGCGCTGGCGCCCCAGGTGGTTCCCAGCTCCCCGGTCAAGGCCTTGACCTGGGCAGCCCCGTCATCCGGCCAACGAGTGGCCAGCAGCGGCCACAGCGGCTGCAGGTGCCGCAGGGGACTCCAAGGGCCTGGCAGGGGGTTCACAGCGGCAGCGGCAGCGGCAACGCCGACACTGCAGACTTTGGCACGGGCGCCACACGCGGCCTGCGGTTGCCCGAGCCTGCAACGCCCCAGATTCGATGGGGGCGGCTGGGTGATGAGGATGGTCCCGCGCAGGACCCCGAGGCCGCCGAGGTGCTGCGCATCACAGGAGAAGCGCCACCACCACCACCACCGGCTCACGGGAGTGAGGACGCCGTTATCGCTTTTGCCCCACCCGTGTTGCCATCGCCGCGCGGGGCCCGCTTTGTCGCGGGGCAGGCCCTGCCCGTGGGCGCCCTCAAGCCCCACACGCCGCCAGGCTTGGCAGCTCCCGACCGCCAGAAGTCCCCGCGCCTGGGGGGCCGCGTGAGCTTCATGACGGCCTCCATGAAGCGGCCCCAGGGGCTCGCTGATGATGCTGGCAGCTCCTTGGAGGCGGCCCTGGCAGTCCTTACCCCTGCCGGCGACGGCTCGGCCATGGCAGCAGGGCTGGTGCCAAGTGATGGCGCCGGGCCCATTGGCGGCGTCGGGCGTGTGGGCAGCCCTCGGGTGGGGCGGCACGTCACCATTGGCGGGGCAGCTGTGGCAAGCAGCAGCGGCGGTGGCGGCGTTGGCAGCGGGGCAGACCTGGGTAAGCCCTGCAGGCTGCTTGGGGTGGCGCGAACGCGGGGTGCAAGAGCAGTCCTGCTCGCAACTGCCTTGACAACGAGCCTACATTCCATCAACTGTTCCCTGATTGCCGCCAGCCAGTGGCAGCCCAATGACGACTTCTGTGCTCTGCCGCCCCGCGTTCCTGCCACTCTGATTCTGCAGGCTCCCTGCTGCTCTCCCCGGATGCGGATCTGCTTGCTGGCGGCATGCGTGAGCCGTCTATCACAGTCAAGGCCCTCAAGAGGCGGAAAGAGGCCGCTCTGGTGGGTTTTCAGCACGTGCCAGAGGCCCCACGCGTAAAGGCTTCTAGGCTGTGGGCTGCAAGGAAATTGGGGGGTTTCCGACCAACCTGCCCCGTCTGCAACGCACTTTCGCATTCTAGGCAGCTGGCGGTGACGGACAGCCAGGATCAGCCCTGCCTGGTCAAGCATCATTGGGCGGATCCAACCCTGGCAGTGGCTCTGTGAGCCGCGCAGCGTCTGCCACACTTGGCCCGGGCAGGGCTGCACGCCAGACCCGGCCCAGCAGTGCAGGTAGCGACAGCGTCTACAGTGACAGCAGCCACGTCACTGGTACCTCAGGCTACACCGGTCGGCGCTCAAGTGGGTGGTTGGATGGGGCAGGGAAAGGAGCAAAGATGCTGCCAAGCCAAAAAATTGCAGCATCAAGAGAGCATTCGTTGTGAGGGGGATGTGTTGCACGGCGCAATACGACACAGTATTACTAGTGCTGTCGCTTGTGCTGCTGCTGCTGCTGCTGCTGCTGCTGCTGCTGCTGCTGCTGCTGCTGCTGCTGCTGCTGCTGCTGCTGCTGCTGCTGCTGCTGCTGCTGCTGCGGATGCTACCGCTGCTGCTGCCGCTGCTGCTGCTCCAACCACGCCCCCCCCATACCCCCCTTGCCAAAGCCACCTACACGGACTACAGCATGGTGTCACACCGCACCGACGCCAGCGGTATGCCTCCCCCCCTGGTGGGCCGCTCCCTGTGGCTGCTGGGTGAGGACAACGTCGCGAGGGTGTGGGTGTACGACCTGGTGACGGCCAAGGGCTTTGACTATTTCATGTTCTTCCTGATCATGGTCAACTGCGTGTCCATGGCCTATGAGTACCCGGGGATGGACCACGACTCGGTGGGCTACAAGATCATCTACTGGAGGTAAGGGCCGGGGGCAAGGGGGGTTGAGGTGGGTGCCGGGGGTTGAGGCGAGGTGACGGTGAGGGGCCGCAATCATGTTGAATGGGTCAGAGGGGTGGGGTCGTCAACATACCCATGGCGTGCAAAGCATAGATGTGAGGCTGGCGCGAAGGCGCGACAAGCACCATCGACGCGCCCATTAAACTCGCCGCCCCCACGCCGTGCCTTTATCCCCCAGTGACGTGTTCTTCACAGTTGCATTTGGCTTGGAGGCCGTGCTCAAGATCATGGCCTTCACTTTCAAAGGCTACTTTGCAAACACCACCAACAAGGTGGGTGGCGTTATGACGTAGAAACGTGTACAGGTGCATTGGCAATAATGTCAGGATCTCAGCTTGATTAGCAAGTGGATCTCGGCCCCCATTTCACTCACACGATCAAGGCAACCTTGAATCCGTCCCTGCCGCTGTTGCTTATGCTGAACTGCCCAGGTGGACCTGCTAATTGTGGTGACCAGCGTGGCGCTGCTGGTGTTTGAGTCTGCCCAGATTGAGGCCATCAAGGTGGGGAGGGTTTGGAGAAAATGTGGTGTGTTTGGATGCATTCAAGACACTCGGGCCCTGTTAACAGCTTGCCTCATCACCGTCTTGTTGCCACTTATACATCGCCTGAATCCCGTTGCAATAACAGGCCCTGAGGGTGCTGAGGGCAGCCAAGCCGCTGCGCGCTCTCACCCGCAGCGCTGGCATGCGGCTGGTCTTCAAGTGAGAGGGTTGAATGCGGCCTGGGTTAATCTGCGTGTAGGTGCCGCAGCAATAGCAGAGCCCTTTCAGCCAAAGGCCAGCCGCGCTCTCCGCGCCCTGAATGTGCTCTGCCTCCCAATTAACCCAGGTCTGTGACGATGTCACTGGCGGCCATGGCCAACGTGTCCTTGGTGGTGATGCTGTTCTTTGTGATCTTCGCCATCCTCGGGGTGCAGGTATGTACTTTGGTTGGTCACAGGGCAGGTGCAACTGTATTGACAGGCAGGCACAAGCATTGATGCATTTTCAGGCTGCTGACAAGGAGGATCAAGCAATCCTGCACTCTCGTGAAACATTACTGACTGGTAAGAAACGCAACACCAACCCGCCCGTTTGTTGCACAGCTATTCAATGGCAAGTTTTGGAGCTGCAACGACCCCAGTGTCCCCGACATGGCCGCCTGCACCGGCACCTTCGTGTCTCCCAATTCGGGGCAGGCAAGTAAAATCGTGGTGGCTTGACTAGGGGCTTTGAGAACAGCGCAACAACTATTCTGCATCTCCAAGCATTGAGAGCATCCTTCCATCCTTGCAATTCTGCTCTAGAATGCTGGCGTCCTCTCTCCCTGCCGCCGTGTGCAGGAGGAACCACGGGTGTGGTCTAATGCCTCGTTCAACTTTGATCACCTGGGCAATGCTCTGGTGTCTCTGTTTGTGGTGGCAACGCTCAACGGATACGCCGAGATCATGAACTCAGGTGGGGTCCGCCTGTGCCAGGTGTGCTTGAAGGCGCATGCTTTGACCATGATCAGACTTGTTTGGCGGTTGCAAGCAAAATTTAGCATTCGACCTGTCATCAAGTTATTCATCGGGCCCATGGCGTTTGCATGCCTCCCCACAGCCATGGCCGCCCCTCCAGAGAAGCACCTGCAGCCCCAGCCCATGGGCAACTGGAGCGCCTTCTTCTTCTTTGTGGCCTTTGTGATCGTCGTCTCGTACACACTCCTAAATCTATACATCGGTGCGTTCACAGAACACAAACAAAGCCTGGGTGCCCACACGCATCCAGCTCCTTTCAAGACTGCCCAACCATCACAGTTGATGTTTCCAACCTTGCATGCTGCATTGCTTGCCTGTACCTTCCCCGCTCAGGTGTTGTGTTCTTTCAGTTCAGCCGTATCCGCCAACAGTCCCAGAATGGCAGTGCCTTCCTCACCAACGAGCAGCAGGAGTGGGCTGAGCTGAGCAAGATGGTGTTCCGCCTGAAGCCGCCAGACAAGTGCCCTGTCCCCAAAGACAAGGCCCGCAAGTAAGCTTTTGGATTGCCAGGGGTGCACTTATGCGGGCGAGCGGGCTGAGGTTATGAAGGTCATTACGTGTCACTGCATCGCCGGCTCCAACCTGCCAAACCTCCCCAATCAATCCCCAACGGATCTCCCATTCCGATTGCAAAAGGTCGCTGTACTACCTGATCCAGTCGCCCTGGTTTGAGGCTGCAGTGATGTCCCTCATCATTGCCAACGCACTGCTGATGGCCACAACATACTATGACATGGTGGGGTTGGGCACCACCAGAGGTCAAAGAGGCTAAACTCGGACGGGCATGATGCGAATGTTGCGGGTGTCCGAAGAATCAGCTCTGATCATGTCAAACCACTTGGTGCATGCTGGAAAGACACCTGGCCTGGCCTCGTGACCCCTCATGGCCCCGCAATCCCGCGACGCCAGCCACCTAACATGGTCCACACCATGGAGTACATCAATTATGGATTTACATGCATCTTCATATCAGAGGCGATACTCAAGGTCAGACCCCTCTGATGAGGCCCTGTCTGATTGCAGCACGTCCCCCGCCTCAACTCCCAGGACCTCAACTGCTAAGCAGACACGTTAAGCTCGCCATGAATGAACTGCGTTGTGCATGTAGCTGCCCTGAATTCATTGCCCTGCCTGCTGTCTGTAGCTTACTCAACCCTCCACCAACCTCCCCTCAGGTCATTGGCCTGGGCTGGGTCAACTACTGGAAGGTTGGGTGGAACCGCTTCGACCTGCTGCTGGTGACCTCCAGCCTGGCAGACATGCTGGTGTCAATTGTAGGAGGAGCCCAGATCAAAGCTCTCAAGATCCAAAAAGTCATGCGGCTACTCAGGCTGGCTCGCGTTGTCAAGCTGATGCGGGGCATGAAGGTGGGTATTGTGCAGGAAAGCCTGAGGCGGTTGTGGCAGCCCAACTCCTCAACTGGTGGAACCTCCAGTTACTGTGTGCTGCCGCTCAGGCAGCGGCCGTGGTGGTCACCACCCTGTGTTTTCTGATCTAGAGGTTCAAGCTCAATCAGAGCTGCCATGCCAACCTTCCTTTGGGCACCGCAGGGTGTGCGGTCCCTGTTTGGCACTCTGATTGTGTCGATGCCAGCTTTCTGGAATGTGGGCGCTCTGCTGGGTCTGCTGTTCTACATATATGCCTACATAGGTAGGTGTCCAGTGGTTCACCATGCACAAACGCCGTGATGCTGGCCGTCTGCAGACACTGGCTCTGCCATCTCAATAGCCTAAATGGCAGCCGGATGACTCGACATCATGTGCCATGCTGAGCAATGTTGTACTGCACCACTGCGCACAGGCACGCTGACACTGGGAAGTGTCAACTACAATGCAGGCATCAATGAGCACGGCAACTTTCACCGCTTCTGGATGTCGCTGCTCACGCTGCTCAGGGTGATTGGCAAAAACTGTAATGCAAACTCAGTAATTGCAGCGCAGGATGGGTCGAGGTGATCCTACTACAGCCACACTTGCTGCCACAGATGCTATCGCTCTGACATTGGTCCTCTTATGCGACCCTGCAGTTGGCCACCAATGACGACTGGACCAACCTCTTTGTGGCCTGTCTGATCAAGGTAGGTGGTGCGCGCGTGCAGTACGCAGCTGGGGAAGGGTGACGCATTCAACCAGAGCGGGCTACGCATTTAACATTGTACGTGTGTAGGTGAGTCAGGAAGTTGCTTCTCCAGGAAGTTGCTTCTCCAGGAAGTAAACCAAACCCCACCCGCAGCAATGCCGCACCGTTCTCAAACATCGTGCTTCTCACTTTCCCTCTGTAAAAACATCCCAGCCCCCAGACTGCGACCCCAATCTGGGCGAGTGCGGTCATCCTTGGGTAGCCATTCCCTTCTTCTTGACGTTCGTGCTGCTGGTCAGCATTGTGATGCTCAACCTCTTCACTGCCGTCATCATTGAGAATTTTGAGAAGCAGCAGGTTAGAGGTTTTAAGGGGAGAGGGGCGCTTTGCTTTTTTGCATGCTTATTTGTCATGTGTGCACTTGTGCACGTTGATTGATTATCTATTGTGTTGGCAATGGCTTCACAACGCCAGTCCTTGACTTCAACCCTCCAGGAGCAAGAAGCGTGGCGCCTCAACCCGTCGTCACTTGAAGACTTTGTGAACCTGTGGTCAGAGTACGACGACGGCTCCGGCAGCATTGACCCGCAAAACCTGGAGGCCCTGCTGCTCAGGTTGGGACCAGGGGTGGAGTCAGAGAGCACAATTTGCATGCATACAGGAGATAAGGCTGCGCTTGAAGATGGCAGTAGCGCCCAGTTGCCCTGTTGCACATCAGCAACCACCCTTCCTGCTGATGCTGTTGCTTTGTTCTGCCAGGCTGCAACCTCCCCTGGGCCTAGGCCCCGGTGCGGAAGGCAAGGACGTGCTGCGGTTTGTCTTCGACCTGGACATCCCTCTGGTGCAGGGCAGGGTGCCCTTCCACAGGTGAAGCACACTGGCTAGGCAGGGATAGCTGGGATGTCTGTTGTAACAAGCTGCGACACCACAGATGCTGGAGTGTTACGCCACATCATGCACTCAATCAAGTGGCTTGATCCTTCCCCGCGCAGGACTGTCTTTGAGCTGGTGAAGCGCTGCAGCGGCACCCAGATTCCAGAGGGCCTGCTGAAGGACCAGATTGACCGCCTGGTGGCAAAGCACTTCAAAAATATGCGCAGTGACGAGGTCCTCAACTTCAGTGTCGCCGTCACCGTCATGCGCGTGCAGGTGGGTGGCAGCACATGTCGCCCACGATGCATCGTGCTGCCCCGCGCCGCGCTGTGCAGTGCTGTGCTGACATGGGCTGGTCATTTCTTCTCGTTGTAGCCTGACCTGGGATCTCTACGCAGCACCTTCAACCCCAAACCAACTTCACCCAAATCGCCCTCAAATGTACAGCGCAAGTGGCGTGCCCGCATGCGCGCAGCCAAGCTCAAACGCAAGAAGGAGACGCGCGCTGAGCGTGCGATCGTGCCACCCTACGCTGATGTGGTGGCAGCTCGTGATGTCATCCTGCGCCAGGCTATTGAGGCACGCCAGGTGCGCAGCAGGGGACAGGGGTGGCCTTGCCAATACAAAGCAATTCATATGCTGAGCTACGTGACTGTATCGCTGGGTGAAGCGCTTGACGCTTGCTTGTGCGGCAAATTTGTGTTGGATTGGATTGCACAACGCGTCGTCTGATACTTCTGCAGGACGGTAACCGGCGCTGGCGACCCACGGCGGCACATGCGCGGCTATGGGATGATGTCCACGCGGCGGTGGAGGAAGAGCGCGCAGCCGAGGAGGCTGCGGCAGCTGAGGCAGCTGCAGCCGCCGCACTTGCCGCAGCAGCCGCCGCAGCAGCTGCCAGCAGCGAAGCGGGAGGCGGCGGAGGAGGCCGACGCCGGCTGCTTGGCGGCCGGGTTGGGCACATGAGCATCAGGTGGGCTGAGTCAGCATGAGCAAGCAGGTTGCTTGACGGGATCCAATCACAGAGCCCCAGGGTATGCTGCCCCCTGAATTTGCTTCTAGCGCATGTGCCCTTCGCGCAGTCCAAAATAGTATCACATCAACGTCGGTGCCCTCGCACACAAACCCTGCCACTCTACGAGCAGGTATAAGGGCGATGCGGCGGGCTTGGACGACGGGGACGAGGCGGAGGGGGGCACAGTGGGGACGAGACCGCGCTCAGCTCGCTCGGCTGCGGGCTCAGTGATGGGCGCAGCGTTCCGCCGCATAGCGCACATGTTTGGCACCAGCAGCGGCAGCAGCATTGCTCCCGCGCCTTAAGGCTGGCAAGCCACTTTGCTGGAGGTGCTTTTTGTGACCGTGATTGTGTTTCATGTGCTGCAGTCATTGTCTTATTTCTAGCTGTGGAAAGCGTTACCATCACACCACAGGCAAAGCTACGCACGATGGAAAGGACCTTTGACAATGACGATTTGGCTCCGGTGCAGCAAAAACTGCTGGGGGGCAAGAGTGCCGCATTGGCTGCAACATGCATGCATACCACTAGCAAAAAATGGCTACAGCAATCAAAGCAATGTGATTGACCAGCCGCAGCTGAACACGCCGCAATTGTTGTGGTCAGAGCTGGTGGTCGAACTCAGACCATGCAGGATGATGTGGCTGATAGAGCAGTGCAAATCACTGCCCTCAAGAAGTACTCTTACACGTGTTTCGGGCGCTGCCCAATGCCCGAGCTGCTGGCGTGCCCCCATGACGGCTGCGACCCCCCCGGCTGCTGTGGGCTGCTGACCTCGGTGATGACGGCGGCTGGCTGCCCCCGTGGCGCCCCAGAGCTGCCGGGTGCCGCGTTCGCCGCTGCTGCCACTGCAGCCGCTGCGCAGCCGTTGATGGCGTAGATGGCTGGGTTGATGCGCTGCGGTGCTTTATCTGAGGGCAGGCCAGAGCCCCCTGACTGCCCTCCCGCAGCGGCCACCACTGCGGGGTCCAGCAGCGCGGCGGCCTCTACGCCCTGTGGTGGGCAGCGCAACTTGAGTCGACGGGGTGCAGGGGTGGGCAAGCCTGCTGGCATGGCATAAGTACAGTGAGTGCGTGCTGTGTGTGCCCCGAGCGCCCATGGCAACATTCTGTCCCGGTGCCCCGACATGCTGATACTTACCATCAGCAGGCCGGGCAGCAGACCACCATCTCCCAGCTGCTGCTGGTGCTGCTGCTGTGCCGGGGGCTCAAGGCCGTGCACGAAGCCATCCAGAGCTCGCACGTAGCGGCCGTTGTGGAGGCCCACACGTCTGGCCACCTCTGCAAAGGCGCCGCACAGCAGCTTGATGGCGTTGTTGGTGTGAGCCACCTGCTGGTGCAGCTCCGCCACACCATCCGCCACGCCCTCCACACGCTCCCCAACATCCTTGAGCTGCCCATCCATGGCCTCCTGCCGCCCCAGCATCTCGTCAGCCTTGGACGCCACCGCCCCAAGCCGCGCCACCATGTCAGATGCTGCCGCCTCCACCTGGCCACGTACAGTGGCCAGGCCTGCAGTGTATGTGTGCGTGCATGTGTGCGTGTTTGTCATGTGAGTGTGCACGTGTTGCACGCACATGCGTGCGTGCGCGCGCGCGTGTGCGTGTGTGTGTGTGTGTGTGTGTGTGTGTGTGTGTGTGTGTGTGTGTTCATGCGCGTGTGCTTGCGCACAAGTACGCGAGCGAACTTGCACTCGCGTACATGCATGCGTGTGACGTGCACGGCGTTGCCATGTGGCAGATCGGGAGTGACGGCCAGGGTCCACATAGTCCTGTGCTGTTTGATGCAACAAGCATCGAAAACAAGACCCTGCTATGAATATTCCGACACACCCTTTGGTCGCCCACTGCTCTGCTGTGTGTAAACGTGCTGATAAAGCTCCAGAAGTCCAGTCCCCTCACACACGGCTGCCTACCCTGGTTGACGCTCTGCTGCATGTTGACCAGCGCCCCCTTTGTGACGTACATCATGTCGGCCAGCCGCCAGCCCCTGACAAACCGCAGGTACAGCGCGACGCCGCCAATGACTACCACTGCGCCCACGACAACCTTGCTGCGCAGCCAAAATAGGACGAGGTGGTAGCGTGCAGCGTTCACCATGGGCGAGTGGCGGCTAGTGATAATTGGTGCTGGTCATGGAGGCTGGGACATGGCGCCAGTGAATGGCAAAATCTATCTGTGGTGCTGCTTGCATAAACACAATCGTAACACTTTGCAAAAGAGCTCGGGACTCCACCTCCCGGGATGAGCATTCACACAGGCCGTCTCACCTTGAACCCCGGCCCGAGTCTGTGACGATTACGGTGGGCTGGCCCCTCTCGTGCAGCGACCTGAGCAGTGCAGCCTGCAGGTCCTCCACCTGGCGCTGCATGCGCGACACCTGCTTGCACAGCAGGGAGGGTGCCGACGCGCTGCAGTAAGTGAGCTCTGCTATCCTTCCACAAAGATGCCAAGCGTTGCTGAGAGTTCTTGGACGCCATAAACGTGGGTGTGACAACTCGGGCGTTGGATGCGACGACAGGCAAGCCAACCAGCACCCTGCGGCCTGCTGCTGGTGATACAAGCCCTGGCCGGCGTGCACGCCCCTGCACGCGGTCATCCACAGTGGAGCAAAGTTGCGTAAACCAAACCAAGGTTCAAAGGACCTGCCTCGGCCATCTGCGCGGCGCCCCTCCTCTGGAAGGCCTCAAATAGGCCCGTCGCCAGGTCCTTGCCTGCCAGCCCGCCCCCACCCGGGCCACCACCGCCCTCGTGGTACAGGTTGTACGCGGCCGCGCCTACGGCGCCCGCTGCCAGGCCCTTGAGCAGCGCCATTTAGCGCAGCTTCTGGGTCCAGGCTGCGGTCCAGGTTGCGTCTGGAGCGTCGGGGTCATCGGCGTCAAAGGTCGGTGGTTAGACACGCCAACCGCACAAGAAAGCTGCGCATGCTGCCTACATCTTTGCCGCACCTGCGTCAGTGATAGCTGCACGTGCTCGAACTTGGCACCGTCGTGCACGCCGGCGAGCGTCGCCGCGCGCTGTGCTCTGCTGTGCGCGACAGAGTCGTCCGTTGCACCGCGGTCTGCCACGCCAGCGCCCAGTTGGGCGGATCGCTGCCGTGCTGTTCGTGTCGGTTAAGTTGTCGTTCCGGGGAAAGAACGCGTACCGAATGTAACAAAAAACGATCTCGAGCTTCACTAGGCGTCCGATAGCAAAGAAGCGACCAGAAGAGTATTTCGATATTACTGTGACATCGTACACTCCGGTAATCACGATCCCGTATGGCTGGTGCGGGTTGCCGCAGGAAATGCGTCAGGCGCGCGCACGAACCGCTGACCGACCTGTCACCATGCCCAAAAATCGCGCCGATTTCACTCCAAAACACCTAGGTAGGTCACTCCAATGCAGAAGTCCCAGCTACCGGTAAATCCAGCTGGCCGGGCTAAACAGCAAGCCCCCTATCTGTGGCTGGCGCAATTTGACGTGCCTTGCTAGCGAGCACGGCTCAACAAGCGAGTCCAGCTCCGTCCAATCTATTGTTTTGTTTTCACAACGTTTTGATTGCGGGAGGTGATGTTCTCAAGGACACTGCCGCAATGCTAGGAGGTTCCTTACGGCCCACCCTTGGGGCGTGGACTGTCCCCCTAGGGGGGGGGGGGGGTGCAGCAGATGAATAGGTCGGGTTGTGGGGGGCCAGCCTTAGCCCCTCTAGCCCTGCCAGGACACTCTAAAAATAAGCCTTGATTTTGTGCATTTCTACTTGATAATTGCAGTATCCGTGACCCTAGACCTTGACCCCGAAACCCTGAACCGTGATCCCTGATCCCTGAATCGTGAAACCCATATCCGGATGCACAAAATGCGGACCTTGCAACCTGAGCACTAATGATTAATCGCTGTGGCACCTACAGTCAACCCTTGGTTATAGTGAACCCATTTTTGTCCGGAATCCGTTCGCTATACGTGGTTTTTCGCTAAATCGGTATAGTAAATTCCAGGGGGTTGGCGTTCGCTAAATCCAGTCAACAGTAGATTGCAGGCCCCGGACCTTGACGGCCGCCACTGCCCGGGGGTGGGCGGGATGAACATGCGAATATCACTCTGGCGGCGCCGCAGCAGCGCGCACACTGCCATGCGGTCAAGCCGATCCTGCATGCCCACAACCACCACCTCGTCGGTTTCTAACAAAATCTCAGGGTGTGCAGCCACATAGGCCGCCAGCTGCTGCAGCGCCTGCTGCGCCCTTGTCCTTAAAGATCGTTCTGGCGCATCTTATGGTTCAATTTCCTAAGATCGAGCACCTTAAGCTTATCGCCCACCGTCAGGTTCGCGCGCTTGCCCTGAGACTTGCCCATACGAAGCGAAGTTACGGCTGGAAGAAGCGTGTACGAACGTTGTGGAGCGGATATGTTTGTACGATGGCTGCAAGAACTGCGCACCCGTCAAGAAGGCCTGCCGCAGGTGTGTGTGTGCGCAAGCAGTGACTGGTGCCCGCGGCAAGGCGGGGTGCTGCGTGCGCGTTGTGCGGCAGCGCACCTGCTGTAGCTCTATGTGTCACAAACATGTCCTAAACATGTGTCCCCTTCACAAGCACAGTCATATGCTAAGTGCTATTATGTTCTCTTAGTTGTGTGGAACACTGGAACTGCAGCTGAAAGGCACAGGCGCGCACGCCCCCCGAAAGCAGCAGCAGGGCCCCTGGTTACAGTGAAGGCGGCAGGCTGGCGCCGTTCGCTGTACGCGGCTTCTGAATTCGCTGTATCCGGGGGCAAAATGGATGGGGCGTGCTCTTGTCCGGCTGCATTGGCCGGAGTGTATGTATCTAGCCAGTCGTCGTTTTTGCTGCTCTCTGCTAAACCCTAAAACCCCGAGCGCCGTGTTGTTGATGCTGGCCGGTGCACGTGCCCTTTTCTTGATGCTCGCAGGCCGCAGATGCTGCTGATTCCTGCAGGCGGGTCGCTTACCTGGAGGCGCAGCTGTCGGGGCTCAGCCGCGCGTTCGACGCCCAAGCCGTTGAGCTGCAGCGCCGGGAGGCGCAGCTCCGGCTTGCCGCGTCCAAGCAGCACGCCGACGCGTGCTGCCAGTTTGGCCCGCCTGCACGCGCGCCCTCCGCCTGCCCCTGGTCGCTGCCTGGCAGTGCCGCGCTGCTCGCGGGGGTGGGTGCGCAGCACGGCGGCGTCATGCCCCCGCGCCGTGACCGACGCGTCGTGAGCTGCGGGCGCGGGCGCAGGGGCGGCGGCAGCTGTGACGGTGGCTGCAGCAGTGGCGGCGGCATCAGCAGTAGCAGAAGCAGCAGCGACAGTGACGATTTGGACGTCCAGGCGGGTGAAGTCGAGCCCGGTAGGACTGGTGTGCGTGGGCGTGGCGGCGGCGTGCCCCTGGCGCAGCAGCTGTTTTCAGCAACGACAGTTGAGCGCGTGGCGCGTCACCTGCTGCGGGCGTCCCGCCTGCCTAATTGCCAAGGCGGCGACTTCAAGGCCGACTTGTGTTGGCTGTGTGACAACGAGGACGGCCGTGAGCTGGTCGTGTGCTCGCACGACGACTGCCCAGCTGCGATGCACGCCTCATGCTTGGAGCGGGAGGCAGGCGTGATCGTGCCGAGCGGCGATGCGCCGTGGTCATGCCCACGCTGCCGGTTGTGCCGGTAGTGGTCGCCGGGCCTGCGTTGCTGCGTTGCCGTCTTGCTATGTGCGCGGGGCTGCGCACTGCGACCCTGCTCTCCGCTCGGGCTGCCCTGGGCTCAACAGCGTTCACACATGTGCAACTGCGCCTTCGCCTGTAACCTGCAATGCCTTCTTTCCTATCACGCGCATGCCCATTAAGCTGTATTCAGGCAAGCGTCCAGCTGTCAAGTGTGCATGCGTGTGCGTGCATGCGTGCGTGTGTGTGTGTGTGCATGCGTGC